TCTTTCCCTGAAATGATTCCTTATCCATTTCCAGTAGTCACCTCACTGGGAAGTCTGTTTCTGATCATTATCACAGATGTCTATTATCTTTAATCTCTCATTCTTGTAGACATGCGTCGGGATGTCCAGGAAATTTTTCGCATGACCCCCCATGAGAAGCAGGTCATGATGTTCAGTGCTACCTTGGGCAAAGAGATCCGTCCAGTCTGCCGCAAGTTCATGCAAGATGTAAATACCCTTCTACCTTCTCTCCCTCCACTCCCCGCCCACTGCCTCCTCCCCTTCCTCGCCCTCTTCCTCCAGACTCCCTTGTCCTTCAAGTGCCAAGAAGGGGGCTTTTGCCCGTCTGGGAGCAACAACTCCTTGAAGAGACACACAGAGGCAGAGACAGCTAGTGTTAGGGTCTGCGCGGGTGCCAGGGAAACTCCGGAAGACTTGGTCGGGTTAACGTGAGAGCGGGTAGAGTTCGACATTTTTTTTAATCCCAGCATTTTTGAACCTCTTCTCCCTTTTGGGGGAGGGCAGGATTTTCTGCCCTACCACCCATTCATCCATCATCTCCTACATACCCCTTACAGCCACGCACCCCAAGGTGACATCAAGCATACAGCTGGAGTTTCTGTGCTCATCAAAACTCATAACTCCCGGTGGTAGGAGAGTAAGAGAGGGACAGACAGATTGCAGGGCATGTCCAGAAGAAGAGCAAACAACACAAATGAATCTGCCCCCTCCCCACCTCCAGGGGTGGGGGCCTCTGGCACCTCAGTCCCCAGTCCCCTACTCCTTCCCACCCATACCTCCTTGCACCCATCGGAACCTCGGTCGATGTGAGCCGGCAGCAGAGAAGCACCGTGGCACGACGAGGGAATGCGGACGGCACCGAGCTGTGGATGGCGGCAGCGGAGGCCGCGGGGAAACCTGACCAGGAAGCTGAGGACCAAACCAGCCTCTTTTTCCGTTCCCGGTTTTTTTCCTGAACCTAACGTGCTGTGCCCCATTCTCCCCCATATGTGTTGGGGGTGGGGTCTCCTGAATGGGTGGTGGATTTTTTTTTCTTTTAAAGAATTATTTTTCAATATTCAGAGGAGAGGGATATGGGAAAGGTAAAGTGGAGATTTCCACTTGATGTAATCAGATGGGTGTTAGGGTTGGGGCTTGGGGGAGCCCATTGTTTGAGCAGTGGAGTATGTTCTTCTCCTCCCTGCAGTGCTCCTTCCCTTGAAATAACTTTCTCTTTAGTTGCACTTGGGGTTAGAATTAGATTTGAAGGCGGCCTTGGAATTTCTCTTTGAAAAGCATGATTTGCTAGCCTGCCTTCTGGGATTCGGCTTCTGGATTAGTTTTTTCCCCCCAAACACACACACATCCTTGCCCATCTTGATCTCTGGATCTATACATTAATTAGGTCCCCCAAGATGGTAGGGAGAGTGTTAGGAAAGTCTGGCTATAGAGTTGTCTTGTGTCAGCTTCTTACGTCTTTTTTTATGCTGCTTTCCCCCCCTTCAAGGGTTGTGTGTGTGTGTGTGTTGTTAAAAAAAAAACAAAACATTTTTTTTTTCAATTTTAAAGATGAATGCTATCTGCTGCTGTTTTTTATTTTTTAGCACCCTTTACTAGTGCTGTCCATGTAAACCAAACTGTAGATGGTTTGACTATTAGAGACCAGTCTCATCTAAAACTATTCCATATAATATACTCATCTTGAGTAATTTTTGGTTCTTAAATGGACTTTTTGACTAGATCCATTATAGCCATTCTGATCTTAAAGACATCCACTTTCTAATGTGTATAAGATTATCTTAGTTGAGAGACAATGAAAATGGAGCATTCCTTGTTATCTCCCCCATGTTCTTAATAACCAGCTCTGATGGAATTACTCTGACCTTGAGTCACTGTTCCCCATCATTTCTAAGGTATTTGAATCATATCATCTCTTTGAATGTCACCTATTTTCTTTCTTTCACCACCTCCATTTGAGGTAATGGTGTCTTGCCATTGGATGGTTTCACTGCTCCATTACTTTGCAAAGTTCCTTTTTCCCCTGATAGTTTTCAATTGGGTTATCTTAAAAATCAACTGATAGGAAGGAAGGAAATTAGATCTAGTGTGAAAAAGACCACAGTAAAATTGGGTATTTTTAGTGGTGGGGTGGGGTTTTCAATCTTTTCTCTTCTCCCCATCCCCCCATGGGGTGTTTTGGAGATCAACTTCCTCCACCCCCCCAGGTTTAACCCCCCCACTCTGCCCTCCTCCCGTTCCCCACCCCCTTCCTCCCCCTCAGCCAATGGAGATCTTCGTGGATGATGAGACGAAGTTGACGCTGCACGGGTTGCAGCAGTACTACGTGAAACTGAAGGACAACGAGAAGAACCGGAAACTCTTTGACCTTCTGGATGTCCTTGAGTTCAACCAGGTCAGTGTTCAAGGTCCAGTAGAGTGATGAGCATTGGATACATAACAAGTTATAGCAGAAACTTGTGACCAAGGTGTGTTGAGGGAGCCACATATGAGGAGAGAATGGTGGAGACATTCTCATAAATGGGAATATAAATGTTTTTTGGGGACTGAGCATGAGCAAGGCGTTCTGTGACTGTGGGATAATGAAGATGTCAAGTAAAATAAACCCCCAAAAGTAGATTTTTTTTTTTGGTAGCGGGGATTGAGCTTGGGCAATCCACCAGTAAGCCAAATGCCCAGCCCTATTTTTTTTGTATTCTTTTTAGAAATAGGGTCTCACTGAGTTGCTTAGCGCCTTGCTGTTGCTGAGGCTGGCTTTGAACTCATGATCCTCTTGTCTTAGCCTATGAGCTGCTGGGATTACAGGCCTGCACCATCGTGCTCAGCTCCCAAAGTAAAATTTTTGAAGGGTTTTAGGAAGTTTGTAAAAATCTTGAGCTATTCTAGGCATTTAGGGTTGGTTTATTTCTTGTACTCCTTGTTGAGGAAAAGCAACCCATCAGTTTACCTGGTGTGTGATGTCTTTGCTCTAGAGACTACTAGAATTAGGGTAAGCCCCTTAGTCTTTTGGTAAGTAGGAATATTAGTTGTGGTCTTCCTAGAACTTTGTTGTAACTTTTAGCATTTATCTATGAGATGGCCTTATCTTTGTCTCATAACATGTCTGCCAGTTTGGATGATTATTCTCCACACCACCTCAGAGGTCAGCCTACCTAGAAATCATCAGAACTTGGAGAGAAAGGCTAAATTGTATTTAGAACAGAAAAGGAAATATGTGATAGGGTATAATAGGGACTGAGAGGAATTCCTTTAGATGAGTAAGATTATTAAAAACTCTGCCACATGTGTAATTTCTTTTAAATACTATGTACCCCCTCACTCTCATGCACCACCCCTCCCATACAGGTGGTGATCTTTGTGAAGTCTGTGCAGCGGTGCATCGCCCTGGCCCAGCTCCTAGTGGAGCAGAACTTTCCAGCCATTGCCATCCACCGTGGGATGCCTCAGGAGGAGAGGTGAGTTGGAGCTGGAGAACAACTTTGTGACCTTGGGGGAAAAGTGAACCATTGAGAGAAGGGGACCTCAACATTTTCCTAATTTCCTTTCTCACAAAGGCTTTCTCGGTATCAGCAGTTTAAAGATTTTCAACGACGGATTCTTGTGGCCACCAACCTATTTGGCCGAGGCATGGACATTGAGCGGGTGAACATTGCCTTTAACTATGACATGCCTGAGGATTCTGACACCTACCTACATCGGGTAAGTACCACATCCAGGATACCCCACTCTTCCATACCCTTATTTTATGTATCTTTTTCTTTAAGATTTTTTTTTTTTTTTTTTGAGGGGATGGAACCTTACCAAGGATTGACCACAGGGGCACTTAACCACTGAGCCACATCCTAGCCCTTTTTTTCACTTTGAGACAGGGTCTCACTAAGTTGCTCAGGTTGGCCCCTAACTTGGCTATCGTTCTGCCTCGGCCTGTACAGGCGTGTACAACTGTGCCCAGCCTTTTTTGTACATCTTCCATCTTTAGGGTCTTCCAGTTTTACTTTTTTTCTTCTTCCAGGTGGCCAGAGCAGGTCGCTTTGGCACCAAGGGCTTGGCTATCACATTTGTGTCAGATGAGAATGACGCCAAGATTCTTAATGATGTGCAGGACCGCTTTGAGGTCAACATCAGTGAGCTGCCTGATGAGATAGACATCTCCTCCTACAGTGAGTATGGAGCTCAGGAAACTGGCTCCCCCAGCTCTTAGATTTTCCTTGTTCTTATTGTGTATGTCTTGAATCCCTTATGTAGGTAGTGGTCACCTGATGCCTTATTGGTGGCCCTTTGATGACCTCTTGTCCCTTGATCTTTGATACTGATTGGGGTGTTTTATTTACTATTTTTGTGGGGTCTTTTTTTCTTTCTTCAAAGGATTTCTTTCCGTACTCCTGAGTCTGTCCTCTCAATCTACATGGTACACAAACATCTTCATGTATGTACCTGTGTGTTTCTGTGTTGGTTTCCCCTTTGTGTGCCTTATTTTAACTGCCTTGTTTTGTCTTCAGTTGAACAGACGCGGTAGAGGATTCACCCATTCTGGAATGTGACGGTCTATCTCTTCAGGAGAGGACACCAGGTGTGGGGGTGAAGGAGACACTACTGCCACCTGCCCCGACAGCCCCCACCCCTCCCCAAGGCTTCCTTCTTTTGCATCACCACCACTCCTAAACCCCATTCCTGATTTATCAGAATTTTTTTTAACAAAACTAAAAATGAAACACAAATGTGTCTGTGGTATCTGTAAGTGCTCCATCCTTTATTGCTTATGGTAAAGTTATTTAGGGCTTAATCCAGGGTAAATTTCTCAGTTCTGAGTACCCTGCTATAGAGTGGGGTCAAAGTGAGAATAAGCCTGCATAGGCCATGGCTCCTCAACTACTTTCCAATTTTTTGGACCCTTATAGAGTTGTCTTCATTTTTTGGTGGGCTGGCATGTTTCTGAAAGGGCCCATTTCAGGGTGCTGGGCAGTATTTCTGGTTTTGGAGGGTTATGCAGGCACTTGTGGGAAGCTTAGGCATTTCCTCTCTTGGTGTCTCTTCATCTGTTCTTTCAGCTTCTGGATCTTGAGCACTAGGGCCTGGGCTTCCCAGGCTTCCCCCGTCCCTTCCAGCAGGGCCTGGTACAGCTCCAGCTGCTGCTCCAGCAACTCTTCAGCTTGAGTCAGCTCAGCTTTGTGGTGGGGCCAAGGTTCCTGGATGAAGCAGGAATTGGGGGAGGCAGCAGCATCAGCCAGGATTGGGGGCTGAGGCACTGGGAAGCTGTGTTGCAGAGTGTGGCTGGAATTCAAGAATTCTGTCTTTTTTTTTTTTAAATACCCTATTAGTTTAAGGTCATCTCTGAAGCTCAGGTAGCTTCCTCTATCAAAGACATGCTGGGGGGTAAGGGGATTAGGTAGATATCACTGGCTCAGGGGCTGCCTTAAAAAGGTTTATGGACAGAGGACTAACTGTCCCTCCTCCCTAGGAAATAATTAACTGTTAGATGAGGGGAAATTCCTGTTCAAGGAGAGAGGGAACCCTGAGATGTAGGTTAGTGTGGGGGTGGGAAGGAGTTGAGAGTTAAAATTAGGCAAGGAGCTGCAGGGTTTGATGGGTACAGCATAAACTGGACATTTTTTTTTCCTATTCCTTACCCCAATACAAATCATTTTATTTTAATACAAATCATTTTATTTTTTTAGTTTGACATAAGACCTTCATTTTGTTTGTTTATTTTTGTGTGGTGCTAAGGATTGAGCCCAGCACCTTGCACATGCCAGGCAAGTGCTCTACCACTTAGCCACAACCCCCAGCCCCCCATACAAATCTTGACACACTCCTCCCACCTTTGCCACTTACCCTGGCAGGTGACCTCATCTTCCCACCACCTGAGGAGCTGGTCTGTTCTTCCATGCTTTTTTTGGGATTCTGGAAATAGCATCCTTGGGGGCCCAGGAGGGCAATAGGAGGCGAAGTCGACAGTACTGAGTGATCCAGGCCAGAGGGAGGACCATGGCTAGTGAGGCAGGGAGCTGTCTTGAGCTGCCCAACAGCCACCAGGAACTGGCTGTCTTCCAGGCCTTGGCCTCACTTGAGTGCCTGTCCTGCCCAGGGACCCGCCCCTGCCTGACCCCGTTTGCCTCCACCTTCCTATCCTGGCTGAACAGTCTAGGAACAAGAGTCCTGGTATGAACATGTTCCTGTCAGTTTAGACAGAATTTGGTTTAGAATGCCTAGCCTACCATGTTTTGAGTTTGTTTCTGCTAGCACTGTCTTCTAATTTCTCCCTCAGTGCTGTAATAGGAATTACATCACTGGTTTTTAGATGAGAAAACTAACCAGGATTGTTTACTTTTCTCTAATTTTGTTGGCCCAGAATGACCTTTTTTCCTGTCCTGTTTTGCAGTATGTGTTGTAGGGGTTGCCTTTAGTTAGATCAGGCTCCTTTGTATCCCCTGTTGCTTATGACAGTGTGACACTAGTATAGGTGTCAAGCTTTGTTGAGCTAGTGAAGTCTCCCTTGGCACCTATACATAAACCTGTCCACACAGTGTGAACCTGTGTACAGATGGTAGGTGTCCTGCAGTGTGTTCTAAAGTGTCTTGTGGCTGGAGACCCCAGACACATTCCTGTGGGCAGTGGTGGCTCAGGGGGATCTATATTTTGATCATGTGGGAAATGGAAGGTCCTGAGAAGGCAGGATTGCTAGAGAGTAGACAGTTGCTAACCAACTCACTATTTGGAAACAGGGAAGATGGCTGAGGGGTCCAAAAGCCAGACAGGGAGAGTTTTCTGGAGGTCCTTGCTGCTCAAGCTTGGGCTGAAATGCATTTAGATGAGGCGGAACACCTCAGTTTGTCAGCTGACTTGTTTCCTAGTGTAAAAAGAGGCAAAACTGTAAAAGGGAGAATGGTTTTCTCTGTTTCTTAGTGACAAGGTTCTCATATTTGAATTCGCAATGGCTTAAAGTCTTAATTACTGGAAAATAGGCTCAAAGTACTGTCATTACAGATATGTGAAACTAGTACATGTGAAACTCGCCAACATTGAAGTTAACCTAACCATGTTTGTCAGTTAAAAGCAAGCTCAGCAGCTATTTAGGAAAACAAAAAACAAACCATGACATTTCTGCAGGGTAATCTAAATGATACATTAAATAACCCTTCCTGAAAAGCAGACATTTCAACCATCTGCTTTAGGTTATGCACTCAAAAGTGGACTAACCTACAATAATTTATAGTAGATATTCCTAAGCCACGGACAAAATAGTCTGAATTTTGGCTTTGTTCATCTATGTGAACTAAAGAAAGTTCTGGGATTTGGGTTGGTTGAAATCTGTTGAATGAACTGTGAATCATAGAAATGGAGTGAAGATAAATATGTATAAACCAGATTGCCTACTTTTATGTTAGTGTATATATTTACCTTTTGTCATTCCTGAATGTTTTGGAGTCATAATCATGAAAATTCTGGTCTCTGAAGACCCCTTCAATATCGCACCCTACTGAGGATTGACAGGACCAGAGTGATGGAGTGACTGACATGAATTTATGTCTTGTGAAACATATGCAGATGGGGACTTAGAGATATAGAGGTGCACTCATTGTATTTATGTGAAAATAAGTGTCAAACAACTAGCTGGGCACATTTTTATTCCTGTCAACAGTTGATGTTCATAGCAACCTTTTAAGAGAGCCTTTCTCATTTCACTTTTCTTGCATGTGATGTCCGGTCCAGCACCCTTTGTTGAAAAGACTGTTTTCTCCACTGAACTGTCTTTGCTCCTTTGTATCTAGGTGGGTCTGTTTATGGTCTCTCCATTCTGTTCCACACATTCATTTATTCTTTTGGTGTTACCGCAGTGTATTTTAAAAATCATTTCAGTTGGCAAAAATTTTGTATTTATGATGTACATGATATTTTGGTAAGTGTATCCATTGAAAATGGCTAACTCAAGTTACTTAGCATATATCACACATATATACCATTTTATTTTGTAACAAGAACACTGTCAGCAGTTTTCAACTATATCAGTATATTGTTTAGTCACCATGAGATAAAAAATATCTCTTGAACTCATTTCTTCCTATGTAACTGTAATTTTGGTCTTTGACTAGCATCACCACAATTGTCCCACCGCTTAACCTATAGTAACCACCAGTTTGCTCTCTACATAAACTTGATTTTTTTTTTTTTTTTTTTTTAAGTTCTCTATAAGTGAAATCATCTATGCTGGGCTTATTTCACTTAATGTCTTCCAGGTTCATCCTTATCACAAACGATAGGATTTCCTTTTTTTTTTTTTTTTCCAAGGCTTAATAGTATTTCATTGTGTATATAAACCCCATTTTCTTTCTTCATCTGCTGATAAACACAAGTTGATTTAGTCTATATGTTGGCTATTGTAAATAATGCTGCAATCAACATGGTAACAGATGTCTTTGACACTGATTTCGTACCTTTGGATATATACTCACTAGTAGGATTGTTGAATCATACAGTCATTCTATTTTTAATTTTTTTTTGTGTGTGGGGAAACGCCATACTGTTTTTAATAAAGGCTACCAGTGTGGTACTAATTACTACATAGTCATGATTATTAAAGTCAGGTAGTGACTGTCCTTTGACTTTGTTTTTATTCTACATTGTATTAGCTAGATTTTCTTCCTCTCCATATAAACTTTAAACCAGTTTGTCAATTTCCACAAAATAACTCGCTGAGATTTTGATTGGAATTGATCAGTTGGGAAAAATTACGATGACAATATTTGTTTTATTCATGAACATGGAATATACTGTATTTTTTAGTTGATGACTTTCATCAGAGTTTTGTAGTTTTGCTTTTATACATACTTAAGATTTATAACCTAAGATGAGATTGTACCTAAGTATTGAGTTGAAGTGTAGCTCATTGGTAAGCAGTTGCCTAACATATGAGGCCTTTAGGTTTGATCCCCAAGAAAGAACACACGTACACCAAGGGGCAGAAGAACAAGCTCTAACTTTTAGGGAGTGCTAATGTAAATGGTATCATGTTTTGCTTCTCAATTTCCACTCATTCCTTACTGGTATATAGGAAAGTGATTGAATTTTATATATTAACCTTGTATCCTGCAACCTTACTATATATTCTTTTTGTTTCCAGGGATTTCTTTTCTTTTTTGTTGTATTTTTGGCATACATAAAGTAAATATGAAACATCATAGGAAAATAATAATAATTATAAAAGCATAATTATGACATAAGTCTTGAAACTTTGATCTAGTTTATGTTCTCAGTTTTATTTAAACTAATAGAGTATTTTTATTAAAGATGTTTGCAAGACTCAGAGACAGTGTTGTATCACCTTTCTGTCTCAAACTTTTAATTATGGCTTTCCCAAAAGAAATATTACTATTAACAAAAAATTAGACGAGAGCATTTGATTTATAGAGTCTTGAAACAATATTTTGTGGCTTTTTTGTGTGTGTGTCACTAAGGATTGAACCCAGGGCCTCCTGCATGCTACCACTCTACCACTGAGTAATACCCTCAGCCTTTTAAAAATTTTATTTTGAGGCAAGGTCTTGCTAAGTTGCCCAGGCTGGCCTTGAACCTGTGATCCTCCTGTTTCAGTCCCTCCAGTAGTGGGATAACATGCATGTGTCACAATATCTGGCTTTAATTTTGGTTTTAACATATGCAAACACTTCATCCTCCCTTGCAGAGAGGCAGCTTATTCCCATCTCTATAATGGAGTATGGCCTGAACTTGCCAACTCGCCTCTGTGTGATAGAATAAGGTTGATGTAATGGGTTATGACTCTGGGTGTAAGATTAAAATACATTGCAGTTTTCATTTTGGTTCTTTCTGTCTCTTGGATCCCTAGCTCTGGGGATGCCAGCTGTTGAGTCATGAGCAGCCTGTGGAAAGGTCCAGGTGACTAGGAATGGAGGCCTCTTGGGACCAGCTAGCAAGTACCTGAGCCCTCTCCAACAGCCATATGAAGGAGCCATGCTCCTTGGGAGCCCCCAGTGCCAGTCAGGTCCTCAAAGGATGCAGCCTTGGCTGATGACTGCGACCTTGTGAGAGACCCTGAGCCAGAAGCACTCAAGGAACCTCTCCTGGATTCCTGACCATCATACCCTGAGGGAGATAATGTTCCATGTTTCCAGCTGCCAAGTTTTGGGTAGTTTGTTATATAGCAGTAGATAAGTAATATAGATTCTAAGGAAAGATTAAATCATTGTACTTTTTTATTTGCCCTAAATAAAACGTGTCAGTTAAATGATATTTAACATGCCAGTTGGATTTAAGATTTTTCACAGCTAAGTGAGATGTAATTTATTATTATTCTCAAACATCTATTTATTTGACTTTCATGATCCAGCTGTGACTCAATTACACAAAAAAGTAAGAATCTGGCTATGTTAGTCTGATTTTGTGATGGACCCTAACACCACTCCAATTAGCCATCTTTCTTCAATCAATCAAATGCTAAGGTATTTGCTACTGTGAAGGGATTTTTGCAGATGAAATTACAGTCTCAAATCAGTTAACCTTAACATGGGGACTGTCCTAACTAGGTGATCCTTTAAAAGGACCAAGCTCTTCCTGAGAGAAGAGATCCATTGTGTGAGAAGGATTCAGTGTGAGAGATCTTCTTAAATGTGGGCTTTGAAAATGGAGGGGCAAGTCAGGCGCGGTGGGGCATGCCTGTAATCCCAGCAGCTCTGGAGGCTGAGGCAGGAGGATTGTGAGTTCAAAGCCAGCCTCAGGAAAAGCAAGGTGCTAAGCAACTCAGTGAACCCTGTCTCTAAATAAAATACAAAATCGGGCTGGGGATGTGGCTAAGTGGTCACCAAGTTGCCTGTAGTCCTCCCCCTCTCTCCCTGACAGCCAGCAAGGAGAGAGGGACCTCGGCCCTAAACGTGCAGGAAATGGGATTCTGCCCACAGCATTGTGTGAGTTTGGAGGATACTTGAGATGAGACCACAACTTTATGAAATCCTGAAGAGAGAATCCATGCATACCA